TATTGTTTTTATGAAACGTAAATCTTGAATGTGGTTCGTTCAAATGAACGACTCGTAGGAGTCGATTCCATATGAGAAATTGAATCGTGTGGTTTGATTCACTAAAAAGAATCGTAATGCCCATCCCTAAATATGGTACCCCGCGTAATCTAGCCTGTCCAAATAAGTTGCTTAATTTCGGCGATTTATATATCCCGCGATAAACCTGCATGTCGCGCGTTTAATTTTTTCCAGATAATATGTGGCCAATATAGCCTTTATAGCCTCTACAGTTTGTAATATAAGGGGCAACCATATACAGACCAGGTCAGTCAATTACTGTGTATAGGATTTTAACGTGTAAGACAGTGATGTAGACAGCTTAATGGCAAATCAAATGTATTAAAAAGAGAAAAAAGTTGGGTGGGTATGGGTGGGTACATTCTTCTGTGCGGTATTGCCGGATTATGCATCAAAATTTCAAACCCCATAAGCAGGCGTTTCAGAAAAATGTTGCATCAGGGTTGGATCTGGATTTTCGACAATTAGTTACTCATTTTACTACAACTGTAATAAATTACATTTAGCTTAGATATATTATCTTCATTTCAGTAGTAGACATGAAAGATTTTAACATAGTTTATTTTATTCTAATTTATTTAAGGCTGAGATAATAGATTTATTCCGGATCGTCAAGAGAAAGTCTTGGGCAGGGTCGCGTTAGGGTGATTTGGTACCCTAGCACCATTTATTTTGCTGCCTCCTTCAACTAATAAAATTCAAGTAAATTTTGTTATTTCAAAAATGCCGCCCCCTATCAGCCTGCCGCCCTAGTTAGCTGCCTATTTTGCCTAATGGATAAAGCGGCACTGGTCTTGGGTCAGCATTTATCGAGGGAGATCCAAAGTTTATTATATCCACTTAATCCGACGTTTTACTTCATGCGCTTGGGAAAATTCTTATTCTTTCCTCTTTGTTCAGTATATCGTATTGCAATGAACACATTGACTGTAATCTTCATACTCACGACAATTACTGTCCTTCATTCACGCAGTTGTGCAGCTCTGAACTGTTCAAGAACGCGATACTCTCACTCCATTCAGTTTAGTCATAAAGTTCAGAACTGTTCCGCGCCATATGGAGGCACCAGGCTGTCGCGCACAGCTCCTTTCTGAACCGTTCTCGACTAGCCCAGAGCGTAAAGCTCTGGTACTTGAAATTCGCGACAGCAAATTGGCACCCAAAGCCGTGTGTGCGTATAATTAAATCGTATTATCAACAAATTATTTTTTTTTACCGAAAACTAAACAAATTTCCATTTTTTTTTTCAAAAAATCCCATATTATCAAAAACATTTTTCGCGAAAAATCCGTAATAATCGTGTTTCTGGAGTTAAAATATACTACCCCTAAAAATATTTGAACTTATTTAAGACTCACCCTGTATAGAATATACAGGGTGGACCGAACTGCATTCTGGAAACTTCGGCAGCATATTCTGCAGATAAAAATAAGTAAAAAAGTTCGTATAAATGTATTTCGCTTAATTAATTTTACTATAAATGTATTGTATGTATTTAAAATAATTTCTTATTTTTGCGCTAAATCTCTAGCAGAATTTAAGCAAATAATGCCCATCCCTAGTTTGTACTGCTGCAATTTTGGTAGAACCGTGAATGTCGTTCGATGTGGTGTCGCAGGGTTGCCATTTATATTATTAGTTAAATTATTCTTTAAATGTTGTTAATAACTTTTCTGAACTTTCCTTATTTCGAGAACAGTTTGGTGTGTGTTGATTTTTTGTCTTCAAAAGATAATCTCTGGTAGAATTTTAACGTTTTATTCGGATTTTTCGACACTTCCATTTCAACCACTGGTGAGAAGTCCCAGGGTGGTTTTATGCAAATATGTTTTTTTAGAAGTACCTATTTTTGACCTCGCAAAACTGCAATTCTTTCCCCATTTAACCGACTCTCTATCTCCAGTAGTTTCCGAGATACCCATAGCGAACATCATAGAAAACTCACCCCGTATATAAAATAAAATATATTAAATAAAATTAAATTAGTGTTGTAAGTTTAAATATGCAAATATATTTTGTAGAGGCATAAAAATTTTCAAATGCAGAAAATATCCAATTAGTTTTATTGTGGTTTGATCTTTCTCGTTCGATGTTTTAAAATTGTTTTAATTGACGGAACAATTTAATGTTCCTTTTAATTTAAGTTTAAAAATACTTTTAACCATATTGTTATAGTGATAAATGAATGTTTTAATTAATTACAAATTATTACCGAATGAACTGTACGAAGAATTGGAAATTAGAATAATTATGGAATTCGGATAATTATGAAAAAACTAATTATTTTTCATGATTTTATTTCGGTATCTATAGCATACTGCTGATGCATAATTGTGACAGTTGGTATAGAGAAGGGTTTCAAAAATATGAAATAGGGTAAGGTAATTTTTTTTATTTTATGAAAAATTGTTATACTTTTAAAAAAATCAGTGATTTACTTAAGAATTTAGCGATATTGAAAATGATGTTATAATGTTAGGAAAATTGTTTTGGTTTTAAGAAAAAAAAAATAGGCTCAAAAAATATTGGGGCAGGTGGTAAATATTTCCGGCGTAGATCTACATCCCAAGCTAACATGATTTTTAATTATTTTATATGAAAAGTATGACTTTCTAAAAATTAGGGTGTCGTACTTTTTATAAAATTATCAGAATTATAACTAAATTTACATGAGAAAGTCGACTAGTATAAACAAAGATACGCAGGGTGTACAAAATAGTGTGATATAAAATTAATGGGTGATTCTTCAGGTCAAAGTTCAAATGAAGCAAACAATTCCTATGAACATATGCCTATAACGCTTCCCGAAGAACTTTCAGTCCTAGAAAGCTTAATAAGAAATAATATATTTGTTTATATTTAAGAACATTGGTAAAGCGTTGTTGAAATTTGGTTCTCTTGTACACATTTTAATGCCAAAGCGAATGGTGATCGTTTAAAATTTAGCCTTAAAGGGTAGCAAAATAAAACACTAAATCACCACAATACACAAAAACACTTTTACTTTTACATTGGACGCGCGTTTTGCTAACCATGTTAGCATCATCAGCAGATGATTAAAACTAAACTACATGTACAATTTGAGCGTGTATATACTCGCTCAGTAGGCACCGAGTGGGCGTGGCAAGATCTAGCCAACCGAGTCAGAGCCCACCTAGCGCAACAGTTAGATTTCCTCCACTAGAGTAGTAGGAACAAAGAACTTGAAGGAATTAGACCGTTGTCTCTGTTCATACTATCTTTACATTTATTAATTGTGATGCTTTCACAGGAATATATATCTGCGTGTAGTCGTATTTTTCCTATATAGGGAAATTAAAATAACTTTGGTTGCACATCATAATACGACCACCAGCAAACTCCATAAGACGATGTATGGTGTCATTGATGACGTGCAATGAAAGTTGTTTTAATTTCTCTTTAGATATCAAATTCCTGGCAATTATTAGTATTTCTAATAACTAATACATCTAGAAACGGTAATCTGTCGTTTTTCTCAATTTCATGTGTAAGTTTCATGGAAGAAAAACGATTATTTAACTTAGAAATAAAATTATCTATGGTGTCCGAATGTATGTCAAAAACAGCAAAAATATCATCCACATACCTAAACCATACTCTTGGAAAATATTTAAATTGATTCTTAGCCTCCACTTCAACTGCTCATGAATAAATTAGCCAAAAATGGAGACAATGGATAATAATTTGGCATTGAAATTTCTTAGTTCATAGATTACTTAGTTTTCCACAAACCAACGAAAGATATGAATGTAGTTGAGTGTAGTGAATATTCTCCTTCACTAGTTGATAAAATAATTAGAAAACGTAGGTATAGGTTAATGATTTCTGAAAATTCGAATTTTCAAGTGGAGAAAGGTACGTCAAAATATTTTTCAATACCATTTGATAGAGAGTTATCCCGTGGTCTAAAAAGAACTTTTAAGAATGTCAATTATAAACTCGTGTATAGTGCTAATAATAAATTACAACAATTATTAGGTAATCCAAAGGATAAAACACCTCTACTGGAAAGGTCGGCTATTTATAAAATTTCTTGTAGAGATTGTAATCAGAAATATGTTGGCCAAACTAGAAGATCAATATTAACTAGATTTAAAAAACATTTAGCTCAGGTAAGATATGGTAGACCGGATAAATCTTGCGTTGCCGAACATATTGTTGATAAAGAACATTGTATAGATCTTAATAATTTAAAATTAATTAAACAAGTCTGAAATTACAGGCAATTAGATGCATATGATAGCATCACAATTAATAAATGTAAAGATAGTATAAACAGAGACAACGGTCCAATTCCTTCAAGTTCTTTGTTCCTACTACTCTAGTGGTGGAAATCTAACTGTTACGCTTGGTGGGCTCCGACTCGGTTGGCTAGATCTTGCCACGCCCACTTGGTGCCTATTAAGCGAGTATATAAACGCTCAAATTGTAGATTGTAGTTTAGTTTTAATCATCTGCTGATGATGCTAACATGGTTAGCAAAATTATGTATTGTGGTGATTTAGTGTTTTTATTTTGCTTTGTAACACCAAAGGTACCCTCCAACTGTAATCTTAAAAGGGTAGCGGAGTTTCTATTAGTAGCGAGTACTACTGGTAGTACTTCTTTTATCCTTATAGATAAAATAATTGCAACAAATGACATAAAAAGTTAGATCTTTTTACGCGTAAAACATTTGGTATGGTTTTCAAGATATTTGCGTTTAAATATTAATATGCATCGATTTTAGTATTAGTGAAATGATAAAATATAAAGAAATTTTAAATAAATTTATTTCCTGATTTATCTAAAATCGATGCATCGGAATCTTTAAACGCAAATGTTACGGGCGAGAATTAAGGGGCTCAGTTCATTAGGGTGAGTTAATGTATCAGGACTGTGGGCACTCTTTATTCCCGTTCTGGACTCGTACCTGTTGATTTTTTGCTTGAACAAAACACTTGAGGATAGCGCGCGCTTGGAGGTGTACACTGTGTACTCGGCCGATCTTGTCACTCTGCGTATTCGACTACTGCTACGTACCCACTAAGTTTTTTCGGGTAAAGGATGGGAGGAAGGGATAGAATCCAACATACCGCCCACCAAAATGAAATATTTTCCATTTTTGTTTGAGAATAGTAAAGTAAAATAAAAAAAAAGTGAAAAAATGCGTTATGTTTAAAAGAAAGTAAGAGTGAAATTTATGAAGTTAAATTTAGAGGAAATTTAGAAAAATGCATTATTGGGGTTAATGCATGAGTGTAATTTAATTAAATATTAAGAGAGTTTACATTTGTTATAGAGTAGAGAAAAGTAATTAAATAAGAGATGTTAATTATGTTTATAATGAGATTATGTTTTTTTTGCGATTATGTTTTTTTTTGCGATTATGTTTTTTTTTAGAGAGTAAATTTTAATTATGAGATTTGCAGTAAGGCAGTGGGCATATCTTTGTCACTGGTCTTTAAGAATGCCTTTGCTGTTTTTAAAGTAACCACGCGTGTAACACGATCATGGCCCGGGTGAATCTCTAAGACTCTTCCAATGCTCCATTTGAGCGGAATAAGATTATCATCCTTTATTAAAACAACCGAGTTTATTTCTATTGGAATAGTAGAGTCATTCCATTTAGCTCTTTGTAAAAGTGTTTGAAGGTATTCTTTAGACCATCGGCTCCAAAAGTTTTGGTGCAAGCGTGATATCAACTGCCAGCGAGAGAGATGATTTAATTTTATCCCGGAAAGATCATCTTCCGGAGGGGCGTTTAACGGCTCTAGGGTTAAAAAATGTCCTGGAGTAAGAACTGACAAATCATTAGGATCAGAGCTTTGTGGACACAATGGACGAGAATTAAGCACTGCTTCTATTTGAACCAGTAGCGTATAAAATTCCTCATACGTGAGCAATTGATCACCAATGACCCTTTTAATGTGAGTTTTTACAGACTTTATTCCTGCTTCCCACAGGCCACCAAAATGAGGCGCGCTTGGAGGATTGAAGTGCCAGGAAATTTGTTCTTGCTCAGCGGCGGATTTTAGCATATTAATCAGTTCTCTAGAAGCTCCGACAAAGTTCGTTCCACAATCGGAATAAATATGATTGCAGCGACCTCTACGAGAAATGAATCGACGCAGTGCACCCAGAAAAGTCTCGGAGGAAAGGTCGAAAACCAGTTCTAAGTGCAAAGCTTTCGTGGCCATGCACACAAATAAGCAAATATAGGCTTTACAGGACTTAGCACCTCGTGCACGATATCTTAATAAAGAGAATGGACCACCATAGTCGCATCCAACTTCAGAGAAAGGTTTTACTTGAGAAAGTCTTACAGCAGGAATATCTCCCATAAATAGGAGGCATTACTGGATTAGCGCGAAAGCATTGAGGACATTTAAAGAGAACACTACGAATTGTTTTTCTAGCAGAAACAATCCAGTATTGTTGAGCGAAAATATAGTGAAGAGTTTGGGGACCGGGATGCAAATAGAGTTTATGAGTATATTCTATGAGTAGAGTAGTAAATTTATGATTATTGGGTAAGAGTGCGGGATGTTTTTGAGAGAAATTTAGAGAAGACAGCAAGCGACCACCAACTCTAAGAATTCCATTGGTGTCGAGAAAGGGGGTCAATTTTCTTAAGTATTTAGGTAGAGATTTGCAATTATTTATTAAGAGAATTTCCCTAGCATAATATTGTGATTGAACACATTTAATAATACATTCTAGAGTTTCATTTATTTCAAATTTCGAGAGAGGAGAGGTTTTACGAGATTTAGAATGTCGAGTATTATAGAGAAAGCGTCTGCAAAACGTGACAATATTTATAATTTTAGAGAAAGAAGAGAACTTTTCAAAGAGAGTATCAAACAATGAGGGCTGTGAAGTACATGTCAATATAACTTTTCGATGTTCTTCTTCAATTTCAGGGAAAGTAAAAATTGATTGCGGCCAATAAGATTCCGGTTGGCTTAGCCATGGAGGTCCCGCCCACCATAAGGCATTGTCGAGTAACTCGCTAGGTTGAAGACCACGAGAACCTGGATCAGCGGGGTTGTCTTTGGAGACTACATGACGCCAACAAGGAGGAGGTAATTTCTCTTGAATTTGGGAAACTCGATTGCTTACAAAGGTGTTCCACTTATATGGTTCACTTTTAAGCCAATGCAAAACAACCATCGAGTCGGACCATGCAATCGTACTAACATTAATAAGTTTATTAGAAAGAGAAGTTCTTACGAAATCAATTAACCTGGTCAGAAGTAAGGCTGCACAGAGTTCCAGTCTTGGAATTGAGATTTTTTTGAGTGGAGCTACTTTGCCTTTAGCGCAGACAAAATTTGTTTTTACAGAGTTATCTGGAAGAATTATCCTAAAATAAATTACTGCACAATAGCCTTTTTCACTAGCATCACAAAAACCATGTACTTCCAGGGATAAATATTTGAGAGTGAGAAAATATCGAGGAACTTTGAGAGAGAAAATACAAGGTAATTCTTGAACGAGTTGATGCCAAGATGTAGCAATGTTATTCGGAGCAGGATCATCCCAATTTATACCTAACTTCCACAAATCTTGTATAATCAGTTTTAGGTGAAGAGTGAGAGGAACTAACATGCCACAAGGATCGAATATGCTTGCGAGTTGTGAAAGAATATTGCGTTTGTTACAGATTTTGTTTGTCAAGGACAACGCTGGTGAATCAAAGAAAAATTCATCTGTAGAGGGATTCCAGTTTAGTCCTAGAACTTTAGAGGAAGAAAGAGAATTTATATTTAAAGGAAGAGAAGAATCCATTTTGCATTCATTTGGAGATAACTGAGAAAGAAAATCTGAGCTATTCGAAGTCCATTTTCTAAGTTCAAAACCGCTGTGTTCCAGTATAGAAATGAGATCGCGTTGAATTTTTATAGCAAGAGAAAGAGAATCGCAACCAGATATAATATCATCGACATACCTATCCATATCTAAAATCTTTGATGCTTCGGGATATTTTACTAAATTTTCTAAAGCAATTTGTTTTATAACTCGAATGGCTAAAATGGGCTACAGCTTAAACCAAAAGTAACGCGAGTAAGTTTGTATTCTTGAATGGGCTCATTAGCGTTAAATCGCCATAAAATTTTGAGGTATTCAGTATGATTTTCATTAACAAGAATTTGACAAAACATTTGCTTAATATCGCTAGCAAATACAATCAAATGCGATCTAAATCGAAGTAAAATAGATAAAATATCTGACTGTAATTTTGGCCCAGTTAAGAGAGTGTCATTCAAAGATTTATTTGTGTAATCTCGAGCGGAAGCATCAAAGACAACTCTAAGTTTGGTCGTGAGACTATCTGGTCGGATTACGCAATGATGAGGCAGATAATAAGAATGAGTGTTGGGAGAAGGATTTTGCACGGCAATCATATTATGAGAATCTAAATATTCACGCATGTAATTAGAATATTGAGAATACAATTGGGGGTTTCGAAGCAATCGTTTTTCGAGCGAGAAAAATCTACGAAGGGCGACATCTCTAGAACCTTCAAAGATCGGTTCCAAAGTTTTAAATGGTAAAGATACTTTATAACGTCCAGAAAGAGTGCGTGAAAATGTTTTGCAAAAGTGTTCTTCGGCAAGCCTTTCATCTGAAGAAAGCGTCGAGGATTGTGGAACGTCCTCTAACTCCCAGAATCTTTGAAGTGATTGATCCAAGGAAGCATAAGAGGTAAGAAAGTATGAGTTTACAGAGAGTGAAACACTAGATGTTTTAACTCTTCCTGTAATTATCCATCCAAATATAGTTTCTAAAGCGACGGGTTGATCTGGATCTGAGAGGAGTTTGTTTCCTGTTATCAAGAAACCATAAATATCTGCACCCAAAAGTATATCTACGGGTTTAGAGAGGTGAAAGTTGGGATCAGCTAAGGGCAATTGAGAAAACTTTGAGAACTGTTCAACGGGAAGAGAATTAATCGGTAAATTATCACTAATTTCGTTTAATATAATAAACTCCAAGGAGTAGATCGGATCAGACTTTCCAATAGGTTTAATGTTGCATCTAACACCGTGAGAACCTTTGGAAATATTTTTCCCGATGCCACACAATTGGATGGGGAGGAAAAATTTAGATAAACCTAATTTATTAAAACAAGATTTTGAAATAAAGTGACTTTCACTTCCACTGTCAATTACAGCGCGTATTACATGAAAATTACCCCACGCATCTTGAACATTGATTAATGCTGTAGAAAGAAGAGCTTTATTCTTATGTTTTGCAAATAAATTTGTAGATACAACTTCTGAGATAGAGCTGCTTGCTTGCAGAACTGGAAGAGTTTGCGATGAAGTGGATGGAGGAACGTTTACAGGAGTTGTTATTTGACCTTCGAAATGTAAAAGCGAATGATGTTTTTTGCCACAAGTTCGGCATGAGGAACGAGAATTACAACTCTTAGAAGAATGTCTAGTGCCGAGACAGTTTGAGCACCAACTTCGGGATTTAATTAAATCATATCTCTGTTTTGGAGTAAAAGCAATAAAATCTGGACAGTTATAAATAAAATGATCCTTGTTACAAACTTGACAAGTTAAATTTTGTTTCAACTGAGTGTTGACAACAAAGGAAGAGGTAGGTTTATTTTTATAACTTTTTTGTGAATACTTCGTTTTAGTTTTGTCATAATTACTATTTTTATTAAAATGAGAAAACGATTTAGTTAGAGAGATTGTATCTTTAGCTGAACATTGTTTTTCTAAAAATTCAATGAGTGTATCGTATGATTTGAGGTATAGCATATCTTGTGATAAAACAGAGCCACATTCCAGTTCAAAATTAGTTTGCAAAATTTCTGGAAGTCTATCATAAATCATATTAAATAGCACAAAACTCCAGCTCTCTGTGGGAAAACCCAAGTTATTTAAAATTGTAATATTACGAGTATAAATATCAATCATATTTCTTAGAGCTTCATGATTATTTTCGTTAGAGATGGGCTTAATATTTTCTAGAGCCTGCCAGTGAGCTTTTGCAATCAAACGTTTCTTATCGTACTTATTTTTTAAGGCTTGATATGCTATATTATAATTTTGATTGGCAAGTGGAGTACTAGATACCAAAGCTAAAGGAGGACCTCGTAAGAAACTCACTAGATAGTTGTATTTCGATATATCACTAAGAGACGAGTTACAGTGTATAAGAGAATCAAACATATCGATAAATGTTTGCCAATGTTTAAATTCACCATCAAAATGGGGTACCTCAATTTTAGGAAGTTTTACGAACATTGAGCAGTAGTGTTTTGTAATTGTGTAGTATCCAGCTCCGATTTCGTTTGCGGAAATAAATTTGTGAATAATGCTTCAATGTGAAAATAATAATCATTAAATTCAGTTTGAATTTTGACATGAGGATCAATATCGCCATTATCCTGTGCGGAAACTAATAAAATTATATTATTATGAATCTTATCAAAAGTTTTATAAATATCTTCTAAGTGTTTTGCTCTACATCTAAAGTTAGGGTGAAAATTTGGATCTTCAAGAGCTTGATCAGCGGATTTTTTAAGTTCTTTAATTTTAGTAAGTTCTACAGAGCGTTGAGCTATAAGAGTTTTTAATTTGCGAGCGTCTGCAGACATAGCGAAAAATGAATATAATAATTAATTAGAGCGTAAGAGAAAAATGGAATGCTATAATGTGAGAAAATAAAATATTATAGAATATAATAATTAACTGAGAGAGAGAGAGAGAGAATGATATATTCTACAATAGAATATTATATGAGAAAATAATTATTATATTTTTACCTTATAAGGTGAGAAAATAAAATATTATAGAATATAATAATTAACTGAGAGAGAGAGAGAGAGTAATTAACTAAGAGAGTAAGAGAGAAATAGAATAATTCACTGAGAGAGTGTATGTGTGTGTGAGCGAGAGAGAGAGAAAATAATTATTATTTTTACTAAGGTATTCGTATTAATTGAGTGTATTTATTAATTAAAAATTAAATTATTAAGAGAGAGAACAGACTAGAGTTGAGACTAAATGCGTATCGATAAATTGGAGCGTAAGAAAGAAATATCCGGACCAGTATCGCGAAACAGCGCTAGATATCGCTTTTAAATAAATAAATAAATGCCTTTATTGTCAAAAAATTTTTCAATTTGTGGACAAAGGTAAACTAACAAACAAAGTAAAAAAAACAAGGTACACAAACAAACAAACAAAAGATAATACAAAACATTATACAAATAATATTGTCAGTCTTATTGTTAAAATAAACATATATAAATGTTTACAATGTCAAAGAACAAAAAATTAAAATAATATTCAAAAAATATTTAGCCAGTTTAT